GACAAGAATGTCTAAGGCCTATGACAAATGATCCCATTAATATTTACCTTTGCTCCTCTCTGATAGTAGGAAAGACATGAAAGAACAGAATGTGTGTTATTATAATTACAAATTTAAGATCCTCTTTAAGACTTTAGCAAAGATATAATTGTGCTAAAAGAAAGGCACAAGTCATTATATATACAAATAGCAATATACCTGCACAGGTATTAAAAATAGCTATAAAGAGCAATTTAGCTTATCAGCACTTTTGATAAAAATAAGTTGGTAAAGCCACAGTCCCTCTATCTGATAGAGGGACTGTGGTAAAGCTATATAAATCTGGAAATATAAGTGAATTAAAGAGGAAGTAGTGGAAATGAATGAATTTACTTACTCGCTGGCTTCTTTGGCTTTTCTGTACCTTTTCTGTGCTTTGTATCTGTTTTGTATACATACTTGAAATGTTGCAGCTACAGATACACAATAATTAGAATTAATACACTTACATTTATACTTGAAATACATGTGCAATATTATGCCACATTATTGAACTTTGTTTTAGCTTATTCTTATTTTATTAACAAATTTCTGAAAGTCAATATATAATATTGCAACAAACTTCCCCTCGAAAAAGTGTTTTTCATAAAACAAAGTAGTGCAGTAGAGTTAAAAACATAAACCAGTAATACTACACATGCTTTGACAGGATTGTCAATTCCTAGTCATTTTCGAAAAGTCTGGGTTAGGCCAAAATAGAATGATTGGTTCCTGGTCAATGCACTTGTCAGTTCAAAAGAGGTCATGCACCCACAACTTTGGGGTGGGAAGGGGGTCTGCCAAAATATTTGGAAAATAAAAAAAATACAGAAAAACAAAAAGGGGGCTTACCAAAACATTTTCTTCAACATCTCAAAGAAGAAACAAATTTTATTTTATTTTTCATATTTTTCAACTGTCAATCTAAGGGATTTTTAAGACACAATTTCCGTACAAAACCCTTCTATTAGGAGTTTATTCACCCACCACCGTGGTCAAAACAACAATACAATGTAAAGAATATCGTCCAGCACAATTTCAATTTATTTGAGCGGCTGTAGTAAGCCATACAATGTACATGTAACTAACGAAATTAAAGAGAAGGATTAATGCAAAATATCCGTAGACAAGCGTGGACTTTTTCAGAAAATCTTCAAATTAAAATTTCATAAAAAATCCTACAATCCAATCGTCATGTCGGGGTGGTAGCGGGTGGTTCGAAGACGTCGACCCCGACAGATCTACCAGGGTAGTAGCAGACGATATTAAAATGTACAGATGTTGTTGAAGAATACGACTACTCATAAAACTAAAAAACGCCGATCCATTATATACCTGTACGATCTAATGCTAGCCCTGCGTATATGGACTACGTGTCGAGGGTTAGGATAATGCAGACAGACAATCCCCCTTTCCAAGAGTATAATCAGAAGTGTATGTGGGCTATTGCAGAAATAATACGACTTGAACCAAAGCCACTAGTGTATTTGCTTGAACTTACCTTGGGGATTTGGAAGATTTGGCTTATCTCTGTCTTGTTTCGGGTACACCTGAAGTGCGGTGTGTGCACAGCTGTAAAATAAATTACATGTTTAAGAACATTCCATGTCATAAACTACAGTACTTTCCCAGTTGAACAACAAATTCATCAACCTACAACAACATTAACACCGGAAGTCATTTCGCCCCCTGGCGTCAATTTATAAAATATAAGTTTTGATTCGATGGGATACGTTCCCTACATCAGTAATATTCTCGGTGCAACAAAGGCATCCCCCTCATCTTTATAAATTTCACAATTCAAACTTTGACGAGACGTTTCTACTGACCGATAGAAAAACACTGACGTTTTTAAATTACGTCGTTGCGCACTGTGCTCGTTGATTGGCTGGTTTGATTTAACTGCCATATAAAATGTATAAAGATAAAGGAAAGCCTTTGTTGCGTCGAGAGTATATAACATTCTCATTTGACGATTTGTCGACGTGTAATGTACTGAGAGAATCTACGGAGACCACAGGGGCAATGCAGATATCGTTTAATATTAATCTTTTTGAAATAATAATTTTCACATCACGGCGCTGCAATCACGTTTTCCGTTCTCGGAATTTAATCTAGACTTTTTGTGAGTTCGCACCTTGCACTCCCAGAATCTCTCCTCATATAAAGTTACTAGTTTCAATACGATCAGTGTGTCATAACACATTTGTTGTTTCAGATAAGAAAAACTTAAAGGGTGGTGGTGGTCTCGCCACGCATGTGCGACATTTGTGTTGATAAACTTCGATATTCCCACAGTCCAATGCGTTATTTTAATGAAATCGAGAGTAAGAGTTTTGACCTTCAAGTTGGCGTGACTTGCACTATTTACCACCGGTGACTACTTCGGAACCTTCTAATCACCTAAAAAATTAAAGCTTGGTGACGTCTCAGTTTTTTTTTGTTGGTATGTGCAACAGCCAAATTTGCCATATTTAAAATTGTCTTGTATTTGTATAAAAATAATATGGCGGTGGTTTGGGATTATCTTTTTCTCGAAGTCAATGTGATTTCCCACTAGAGCAGTTTAAGTTCAACTATGCATGTTACAGAAAGACATCGAGATAATTGGAAATGGAATTTAGAATAAATTCACGCACGCGCAGAACTTTCCCTTCAATTACGTGTGTTCATAAACTTGACTAGTATTTTGTCGAAGACAGCGATCCGCCAGTCACATGAATCATTCATCTCACGCACAAGTGTCACAAGCAACATTTTGTAATGAAATGTCCAGCTTACAGTCACCATAGGGACAAATTATTCCTGACTGCACAAAATAAAATTCCAAATTTTGATAAAGAAAATAGTCAGAATAAATTCATTTTGATTATGGCAAACCATACTCTAGCACCAGCCTTAGCTGTCTTCTTAAAAAACAGCTATGGAACAAAACAGCAACAACTATCAGTGTATTAGGCCACATTCTGTGTTCATTCTATATTCTGTATTCACCATTGGCTGCAAATTGTATTTTTTTGTTTTTGACTTTTTTTTTTTTTTTTTTTTTAGAAATGTTTTTATTTTTTGTTTTCTTTTTTAGATTGTAGTTTTGTTTTTTTTTGTTTTTTAATTTCTTTCTGTAAGACCCTTTTTATCCTTTCCTAAGGATTTTATGCGTCTAATAAAAATATATATGTCGTTAAGATCATGGGTTCAGTTATCTCAAAGTTAGCCCAAGACATCTTGTCCAAAATGGCAACTAGCGTCATAGTACATTTCTAAATATTCAAGTTGTTTAGGTGTAAAACAGAAAATTGGGCTATTTGCCTGAATTGATTGATCATAATAAGAACGATTTGAAAAAAATAGCAGCAAGTTGCTGATATCTGGTGAAACTCTAAAATTGCGGTGTTCACTCATGTAGCAAAGCACAGAGCTAGACCCCGATTATAATATAACCGGTTACCCAACATATGTGTTAGTTTAGCTCGTGAGAAGGGCTAGTCTCGATTCCGAGTTCCTTGTTTAACTTCGACACGTGGGAATAATAACTCGGGAATAAACAACGCCCTCTACAATGTGGCGGACAACACGCAATCAGTTCGTGAACACGGCAATACTTAGAGGAAGAAGAGACGAAATTATTAATTTACTTTTTGAAAGATCAGATCATTTTTACCTTGATGAACAACTTGAAAAGGTCACAAGACAAGGTTTATGCCATATTGTCGGTAAGGCGTATGGGGAGCTCTTTTGTTGTGCAGTTTAAATTAAATAACCGCAAAGGACAAGAATAAGTGTGAACTTTTGCAACATATGAACAAAACACAGGTCGCCTTAGCCCGCTGACAAAACGCTCGAAACCCCACACCCCCATTTCCCAGCACATGTAAACAAGGCTTCTGAATCACTGAAGACGTGTTTGTTATTTCGCGTTGCTAGGCAACACAGATTAGTTCGGATGAAGAATGCATCAGTTGAATCCCAATAGAAAAGATACTGAATAATTAACAGACTGTCAGTGAAAATACCTGCTTTTATATCCATAGACCAAGATAATTGAGAATCTTTTCAGTCGACATAGTGATAAATATTGCAATCGATGGTAGCATTTATAAATTACTTTACTGTGACAAGATGTGTGAGATGGGTTTTCGTGGCAAGGAAAAGCACAGTCTGATTAAAATTTGATCTTTTGTGGGGAATTTATTTGGTTGACGTCGGTTGTTGACGTTTCAATTTGTGGGAAATTTCGCGAACGTCATGCGAAAATATAACAAAAAAATATCCGATTGGGGAAAATTAATTTTTCAATGGTTTATTTATGAAAACAAAATTTAAATATCCCCAAGATAATATAAAAGAACTCAACTTGACTGCGGATATACGATGGTTGTAGACAGGCCACGAGAGAAAGGGTCTACGACAGCGCGGTCCACGACAGAGCGGTTGATGGCGTGATCATCACGTGGTTTATAATATCACCTGACTTAACATGACGTTGCTGTAGTGTTGAATTCAAGGATCTACTCGTGTTTTTGTTGGGAAAATACTTATACACTGCGTTTGTAACTACGTTTTAAAAACTGAATTACGAATAATATAATGAACTTTTCCATAACCAGTAAATTTTACCGGGTCGTTCTCCCGGGGTCGTTCTTTACTGAAAAATCGACACAGCAGGACTAACGCGAGCAGTCGAGCTCGTAGTACGACCAGGGCTAGACTAGCCCAGTCGGGGCGATTAATTTGTTTTTGTAGTTTAACTAAAATAACAAAAATCGCGAAATGGAGGTGTTAGCACGTAATCCCCTGTAACTGCGATTTCGCGCTAACACCTTCATTTCGCAATTTTTTTCTATTTTCATTTCGCGATTTATTTTATTTTATTCAAACTACAAAAACAAAGTAATCGCCCGACTGCGCCAGTCTAGACCAGGGCGTGCAATTGCTTGAAACCACAACCGGGAGCTAGCAATGATTTTTTTATTAATGATGAAACGTTACAACATACATGGTCGTTATTTAACAATAAATAAATAATTCTACCACATTCATTTTCTAAACTTTGATTTGGATCCACAAAACAAACAGAGATAGTAAATCGTTTGTATCTTTGCCAATTCTTAACCGATTCACGCAATTTTTTCAACACTTCATGTTTGAAGCAATGTCCTGTACTGTGCATCCGTTGCCATAGAAATATATTAATAATTTGCCTTAATTAAAACTATTTGAAGGTAATATATTGTATACACACTGATCAACATAAACCACTATTTAAACCAAATATATAGGTGCCAGCTGAACTAAATGCAATTTATCTGAAGCTAAACACATCTATTCAGACTAAATATATTTCCAAGTTTATATTATTTACATGTATTGACAAATATTGTTAGCTCAGTTATATCATTTGTTGATATTTAGCTCCTAATTAGCCTCAAAACTCATACTAAACTGTGTTGTGATTTAAAATGATCCAATATGCAATTCTTTCAAAGCAGTTTTTAACGATATGTCTGCTATTTAGTGCTTTCAAATAGATTCTCATCTTAGAAACTGTTCAGATTGACATACCAGGAGTAAATTGTCCAATGGCCAATTCCTTTAAACGATATATATTCAATTGTGAAAGTAATGCACAGATATACCAAGAATTTAATTCTTTTAATATATAACAATTCATACAATACATGCAAGGATACACTAATATATGCTGATGAAATACCTTTCCTGCAAGTGCCATGTACTCTATTTGGACTCTATTTGGCCTCGAAGGAATATACATTCAATGTTTTATTGTGAAAGTAAAGGGTTACAGTCATTGCAAGTGTTTACAAGTGATTTTGTTTTTAAATTGTTTTACCCAATCACAAAGTTTAGATGATTATAAAGCCTTCTTTTCAGATGCACAATACCAACAGATACTGTGCAGTTTATCAACAAATGTAGGATGGTTACTATGCATGGAATTAATTCTGAAGAAATTATGACTGTGGATTAGCCAAGACCACAAATGCAAGAAGTTTGATACCTGATGAATAAAGCCACTGAGACTATACAAGATAAGATAATTCTTTATTACAACCTTATAGAATGAATTACATCTATTTTGGTTTATAAAATGTAATAAAGGTTAGATATCTAAAATCAACAATATAGTTACATGTAATAATGTAATAATATATAATGGATACAAATTTAGGCGAGATGCAAATGACCATGCAACTCGTGGCCTGGTATGATCTTTTCTTTGCATGGCAAATAAACAGTCCTCAAATACAGCCAAATACAATTTTGCTGGGAAAACATTTGATAAAATTAAAGAGTAAACAATGATCAAAAATTATATTACATGAAAAATTTATTAATAAAATTAAATATAAATGCACAATTCTCAATTAATGCTACATGTATATTATCAATCTCAACATTCCTAATACAATAGAATAACACAATAAATAAACAGTAACAAGTCATTGTCAATGACACGTCCCCGTTCCGTTCATATTTGAGTGACATATACATTCAAAGCAGATCATGACCGAAATGCACCTGCATATGTACAACACATTGTGCTAAATCTG